TACTTTTATACCTCAAGAGTGCTTTTACATTAGTATACAGGGTACTTAAACATTCTTTTGAAAGCATTGAAGCATATAAGGTTTTCATAAAAGCCTATAATTTTGTCTTCGATAAATTTTAAAATCGATGATCTAATTTGTTCAACGATAAACAATTTTGTTTATTGTTTTTATACATTAAGCTTAAAAAAACAATTTCTGCATCAATGTTAATAATACCTTGATTTTTTAATGCATCTAACTGTCTTTATCCAGGCCTCATTTTAGTCCTTTTTCCTTTCCACCCTTTTCTTAAAAGAAAAGGATGGCAAGGATGAGTGGATTTGACGGTGGAAGAGACGTATAGGAAAGGGAAATGTCCTCTTTGTGTGCGTCTCCTCCTCCGTCAATTAAGGGTAGACAACGCATCTGCAATTGCGGATGTTTACGGGCAGCGGTCGCTTTCCATTTCGGTGGAGCCGGCCGCTTACTCGTTTGCCACCTTATATTATAAAAAAAAAATCAGGGTCAGCGCACCAGGCTTATGTCCACCATATTGATCTATCTTCCGTCATCTCAATTGTCACTCCTAACATGTCCTAAGTCTTTTTAATTCTTCTGCCTAACTATTTTGTAGTTATTGAGTAGCTTATAGTATGTGTATTTAATATGGTGATATTTTAATTTAGTAGTACAATTGCGAATAAATATCCAAATAAAACTACCTATGAATAGATTTCCCGTATTTAGAAACGTGCAAAACATGTGAGGAATCTGCGGTTTGAATTCTAAATATTCCCTAGTACAAGCCACTAGTTACGCCCCCGAAACTTTACGACTTTGTACGTTGTGAAAGCGAATAACCATTTGTATTTAAAACAAACTTCTGTTTTAAACTTTCCTCTTTAAAGTCGTGTCGTTCAAGTTTTAGGAAACTTGTGACATGGCAAAAGATGTTTTGTAAAACAATTCCAGAATTAACTTGTTGTTATATCTTTGTTTTATTTTTGAAAATGTAACCTAAAAACCATAAATACGATATTGTTCCATACAAAGTCATTCATAAGAATTTTGTGTGAGAACTGTGCAAGCATCGAAATAGTTGGTTGGAAACAAATATTTGAGGCAGTAACACAGGACAAATTATATTTCGTGTACATATTTATGTTGCAAAAAACGAAAGGATTGTTCTTCAAATTTTAGTCTCCTAATAAGACCGTATTTGTTCTGGACAATCTTCGAATTGGCTGGGATATTAACGGGATTTTGTCAAGGTAGCTGATAGGTAAAGGAATGTTAGGCTACTTTTGACTGATAGTTATCACTATTTCAAACTACATTCTAAAACTCTTTGTAATGTGACATTCTGGAAATGTATTTTAACAAATGTCCATAAGTATATAATTATTTAATACATCTGTTACAAAATAAACGACACCACTTCCCATATTATCTGTTAACCTCGATACAAACGCTTACCAAAAAAAATCAACGTGATATTTACTTAATCTGAAATAGATAAATCGATATTGATTGAAGGCTGTAATTCACGGTCCGTTTTCATGGTTAAGAAATTAAAGTCCTCTACGCTACATATGTTTCAATACTGCAAATAACGATATGAATTTTATGAGAAAACAAACATTATTTTAAATTGAAACAAAGAAAATAAAACTCTCGGATTAAATTTCCGTTTGCTAACATTTTAGACCGTCGAAGGCAACGTTGTAGTTGCGTTTCCGCATGAAATTCAAACAGAACACAACATTGTGCGATTTCTGTTTGGAACGACATAAATAAATAACCCATTACTTCGTATTGCGATGTTTAAATCTTATTATTGTAAATGCGAAAGTATTAATATATGAATAGATGTATGTTTGAGTTTGTAGCCTAAACTGCTTAACGGATCTCGATAAATACATTGATGCAGGATAGCCTGAACACATAGGCTAAATTTCACAAAAAGGAGTCACAGGCGAAAGCTAGTTATAAATCTACGTAATATTGGATAATTTGTATTTTAGTCAAATAAACACCACTTCGGTGAAAGCCAAATATTATTTTTTTAAAAAATAAACCTTGCAAATTATACGCATGCTTGTTTAAGGCCTAGTCACCCTCAACTTAACGTAGGCTTAAGCCCGTAACTGGGGATGTATTGTGAGCTGATGAAAATGGTAAAAGTTTTTGTATCAAAAATTATAAAATTTATGTTAAAACTAAAACTAAGCAAGCTAATGTGATGCCTTGTATCTTTACGTATTACATATATGTACATATTAAATTCACGCTTAGTTTATTTTCAGCTTTGAACGCGACAAGGCCAGCTGTGGCCGGAATTTACATAACAAATTTCAATGAAAATTTAAAGGTGTTAAAATAATAGAGAAAAAGATTTAATGTTGTTGATATAACTATAGTTGATTTGAAAGTGAACAATAAAAAGCTAAGTCAAAAATATGTTAAGTAATTTCTTTTATTTTTCAGCTAAGTTACTATCTGTACTTGTATAAGTTTTTAATAGCAACTTTAGCTTCAAGTTTCGTCAATTTATTTCACAAACTGTACAATTTTCAATTCATAGCCATTTCTTTAACGAGCATTTTAAAAACAATTTACATATTTTGCTACCAATTATTACCATTTTTATAATAAAGTTATTCGATAATTTCCTCAAAAGTTTTTCCAACAAAATTTCAGACTATTGTTTGAAATACAAATAATTAGTTCATTTTGTTTCCGTCATTTTCATTTTATTAAGTACCAAAACTAAGTAATGTATCGACATGTTTACCATACTAATTTAAATAACATTATTCAGGCTAAATATGTGACCTACATACCTGCCATATTATGCTCCGACGCATAACGGGATGTAATAACTGAATTCTAGCCTAAATAATTTCGCGGCGGCGTTTTATTTCCTTTCCTCATAACTATTCGTGTTGCGTTCACCACAACACGAAGTCGCAATTACTTGCTTGCAGATGAAACGGAAATTAAATGTGTGGGAATTATTTTGGAATAAATCCAAGAATTTTTTTTTTTTGAAAATTTCAGAATCATGATTTTTAAAAAAGTCACACCCAACACTTAAAAATATTGATATCTCTGTTTTTTTTTTAGAGAAAAATAAATAATATAAAGAAAAAAAATTATAAACAACATTTAAGCGCTAGAGTAAAGTACCTTTTTTAAAACATTTTTTTTAAAAGGCAAAAAAATCAATAACATTTCAACAAAAGATAAAAAAGGGAACCGTTTGATACTTATTGTTACTTAAAGTTATTCCGGAAAATAAATATGAGTACAAGTATGACTTAACATTACAAACTTATTCCTAACAAGTCCTCGAAAAAGTCGTAGCACCGTTAAGCAGAAATCAAGTTTATTATTGAGTGGAATGAGCCCGCGTTTTAACTTAATGGACAACTTAATACCAACTTGGTACGTGACTCTAATATACAAACGGTAAGGCCGTATTTTATTTTAGTCGTAGAACATAATTTCCTACCCTCCAGTATTTCCAAAGTATGATGTGTAAAAAATAGATAGGTGATTATTTGAAAATGTAAACGACATTAAGACTATCTCTAGCTCCATAATGACAAAAACCAAATAGACACAAAATACCACAGTTTATAGCCTGTCCATTTATATAGATCAATGGTAAGAACCAAAGCCGGCTTTGTTTTGATAAAATAATAATAGCCTATCGCTTTGTCCCATCTTCCCTAGGAAGTGAAGATAACTAGCTGGCAAAAACAAAATTCCTCTCAAAAAGCAAAACACTCAACATGTTCTCGGTATTTACAAAAGAATGTTTTTATTTTCCTTTTGAATAGTGAAAACCTTTCTTTATTAAAACCAAAATTACATAACGGAAGAATAATTTAATTTTTTTTTTATAATTGACAGATTGAAAAATGACGAAACAGACAATCTATCTGTAACATCACTATTTTAGCTGGTATTGTATGAAAGTCGAAAATCATTAGTACTATAATGTACTCAAACCAAAGACCTACTGAGAAAACAGAAGGGTCAAATTACATTCGACACCATTACCTTTATCATTTGTTCTGCTCTCTTTTGTTAATTGCATTGCCCGAGAAAGGGCAAAAAAGACGCCGGGAATTCTGCGGATAGCTCAAAGGAAAGGCAATTAGAAATGTTATATCCAAGCTCGTGTTAAAACTTGTAATTATAGACTGATTCAACTTTGAGCTGGATTTTCCGATGAAAATGATTGTTTGAATAATGTATGAAGCCGGGAATATAATGGAAAATGCGACTTTATCGGAATTATTGCTATAAAAGAGAGTATTTTAAGGTTATTATTCGTTAAGTATAGAAGTATTCTAAATTCACTTTCCTTCCTAAAATATCCATCGTATAAAAAGCTAGGATGGGAAATAGATCTACAATTCGGCCCTCGGAACACACATTTATCAGACGAAACGCGGACTTACTTTGATTTCTGTCTTCTGTGTTCGTTTTTAACTTATTCTACGACTGCTGTTGTGGGCTGTACAGTTGAGTGTTTATTTTATTTCCAGATTATGAGAGGCCGAGCGGGGCGCGGCCTTATTCAGGCGCTATGTTGTGGAGTTTGGGCGTATTCCTTCTCACACAGATAGGTGTATGTCAATTCGCTACAGGTAAACATAATTATACTGATATTTTTCTATCCTTGAAACATATGAAAGACTAGATAAACATTTACCCGACGTTCTTACGGTGAAGGAAAACATCTTGAGGTAACCTGCATATTTTTGCGAAGAAATTCAAATAATGTATAAAGTCAACTTTACTGGGCCAGCGTGATTGGTCAAGGCCTAGCCACTTTATGGTGGGATCCGAGCCCCCTCATTGGGGACGTATAGTAAATTTATGACAAAACAAACTAACACTAAAATTTCTTGTCGTTATTTCTTAGTTAGCATTGTAATGAGAAGCCAGTTAAGATGTTTACGGCAACATAATACTCTCGTATCGTATCATCGTATCGTTTTCTGCAATCACGTGTGTACCAATTACGATTAGTTACAAGTATACGTTGTTCGACTCTATCAGTAACATACATCTGTAAAAATATGTTAAAATGTATGTACAATTCACGTTGAATTATATCAATTCTCAAAACATCTTGTACCATTCTTTATTCTATCCGCTAATTAACATCAGAGCTAGTAAGCAAAGCCATTTTGTTAGCATATCTTGTAACTCTAATTAATGTGGACCGCAGTTGTAATAAGCCCACCCTTGTCAGCGACTCGTGTAGCCTTAATTAATTTTGGCAAGTAAAAGAACATTGTATGAGAAATTAGTTTTCAGTCTCCTTGGATAAGGTGCTGAATATAATGCTATTTTAATTAGCCATTAACTAACATACTATAATTTCAACAAGAAACCTCAATTCTTCTGTAGTGACTGATAGGATCAAACCGTTAAGTTTTTAATTGACTTCGTTAATTTGTCTGAAAAAAATAATAACTTGTAGAATATATTATTCTTGAACATAATATGTGGCGAGATGATGACGCCATGAAAAAGAAAGCATTAAGATTGAATGTGGATGGCTAATAAGGTAGAAGAAGACCGAAGAAAGAATGTGTGAAAGAGGTTATGCTTAAGAAGGCAGTGAATTCAGATATAACGGCTGGTAGAGACATACATACTGTACCAACTCTCCGTAGGGACAAAAGCAGAGTGATGACGTACCGAGTTTCAGTTTATTTATTGTTGAATATTTTTAGTTATAAATTCTCTAACATACTTAAATCCACAGATCCAACAACCACTGAAAGCAACACGGTGTCTTCCTTGTACGTGCTGAGCACAGGAGTCGTTCCCGCACCGGTCATGCTGAAACTCGGCAACTCCACAATAGATAGTACGAAGTCCTTTAAAGTTCCACAACCAACGTCTGACATCACAGACTCTGGGAGGACGATAACGAACCAACCAAAGTTGATACTTGACATGGTACCACATGTAGTATCAGCTAAGAATACATACTTCGACCATGATAGAAAATATGGACCAAATTTCGAAGATACCCCGAAAGGGAATGTAACTAAAATTACTGTACAGCTCGGTGAAGATGCGTATTTGAATTGTAGAATAAGTCTTCTTCAAGATAAGACGGTAAGAAATATTCACTATTGATATTTTTAATATAAGAAATATGCAAGTGGGTCACCTATAAGTATAGACATCAGCGAACGACATCCTAATTTTAATGACACCCCTACTTACATACCATTCCATTCTAACCCGTTCGTATCCAAATGGATATGAGGTCCTAGGAGGATGTAGGATGGACTAGAATTGGGCATGTGGACTTTACTAATTATTTAAACCCTAAATACTTCTACATATCTGCTTTTGCAAGTGATTTTTTTTATTCTGCCATGATATATGTTTCGTAATAATAAAAGTACCGTACGAAAATAATTATTTCTGATACATAAAGAGCACGGTTTCTCCATTACACGTGTCATTTTTAAAAGGCTTGCGGCTCGAATCGTCGCCGACCCAGTTCTTTCGGATCGGCTTCCACTGACCTTGCAAAGATATATTGCGCATACATATTTGACGAGTATTTACTGCAGGCAATGTGCTGACTTTGATTATTTTTCATAGCAATCTGTTGCTCATACATTCATCCACCTTGTATATTTATAAATGTGGTCTTTATTTTTCAAATCGCCTTGACTAACAATTTTTAATTTATGCAATTGACTGCTTATGAAAAAATAAACTTTTCTTTTCAACCTCTTTACAATAATTATTATTTAATAGGCAAAATGACTTAAGCAACGTATGCTCCTTTTTAATGTCGCCTTAAGTATTCTTAGATAGGTGATACTTTGGTTAAGGGATCTATACCAAATTTATGAATTTAAGTAGCCGCTAAAATTCAGAAACGAAATTGTTACTACCAGCTCCTAGGTGTTCAGTCAAATTTTAGATACTTCGTTTAACAATGCGACATCTTCTAATATAATTGTCAGCTAATTTCTGGTCTATTGTAATAAAATTTATTACTTTTAGGTATCATGGGTGCGTCGTAGAGGTAAAGAAGAATTGCCAGAACTGCTCACGGTGGGAGCAGTGACGTACGCAGCGGACAATCGAGTGACAGTCGCTAAGCGATATCCTGGCAATTGGAGACTGCTTATCAAAGAAGTCAAACCTGATGACGAGGGAATATACGAATGTCAGATATCAACACATCCGCCTAGAGTCAGCAGAATCTACTTACATGTTAATAGTAAGATATTTTGTGACATTATACAATAATATAGCAACAATAATTTCACAAATTTCTGATGTATATATACATTTAAATATACTTAATAGTTTACTGCTGTGACAAAACATATTGACTTACTGGAGACATAGCACGAAAATAAGCGAAAAAGTAAATGTAACGTCATTGGAAAAATTTGTATTTGAGTTGTATTACAAATGATGTCAATAACATTTTGAATACTTTGTTGCAACTTTTTGTGCTAGTTGCTGATCACACTGATTGATCTAAAATCCGTTCTCATACTGATTTGTCATCTTCACCTTATCTTTTGTATATTTAGTAAAGTTACTGATTTTAGCTCCACAAGTATGGGTAGTGGACGAAGCCGGCGCGCCGCTGTCTGAGAAGTATTACGAAGCGGAGTCGACGCTAGCGCTCGTGTGTCGAGCGAGGCATGTCGACACACCGGCCGTGCTGACCTGGATACACGAGGGCAGGGCTCTCAACGCCGACACTACGAGAGGCGGCATCAGGTATCTTAAGTTTGCTTTGTTAACTACACCTTTAGTACAAGTACTTAGATGCTATCTCTTTGTGTGTAACTTTGTACGGTAGTGACGTGTAAGTTGGACGTAATTAACAAGGGTTTATTAGTGTTAGCAAGTCAGAGGTTGCTAAAACACTATCATTAGTTTCATGTTACGACTGTGGCTTTTATGGTAGACTGTGACGAATAGTATGATGGTGAAATTAACATGTTTTTTCTAAGAAATTGTAAAATAACGACATCTACACATTATACATTATTTTATTTGATTGCAGTGTGAAGACAGAACAGGTGTCGGGCGGTGCAGACAGTCTGCTCCGCCTCGCACGTGTTAATAGTAGCGACGCGGGCAACTACACGTGCGCTGTACGCGGCGCACGGCCGCACACTGTCTCCGTGCACGTGCTTAATGGTAGGAAGTACCTAAGATCATTCATTCATTCATTTACAATTCAATCGGTCCTTCAGCTCCACTAATAATTGCATCTATATTTGATAAAACCTCTGTGTCGCACAGTATAAGCGTGAACTATGAAATGATCAGGGAAATATTTCTACGTTTATCTTTATCTTTATTGGTAATTTCTTTATGTAGCAACGAATCCTTAACTCTTCAAAATTAACGTAAATGTTGCATGCTTTACATTTTAACTAAATTCCAAGATTCCTTTATTCTGCTCTTCCATTTCACAAGCTTAATCTGTAATTCTCTATCTGTTGTTGAAACTTCTTTCACTTCCCTGATTAAATATTAAAAGATTTTTCTAGATAGTGATGGTCATTTTAAAACCTCTACCCCCGTCGAATAAAAAGGTTTACAGTACTATCTCAGACTCCTTTGTTGTGCATAGCAAACACTTTAAAATCCCTGCAACTGTAAAATTAGCATTTGAATCGTGCGACAAAAAAACTCAAGTAACTCTTATTGCCGGTCTGGCGACAATTTGATTTATTCAAAGGGGAAATTATATTTAAAAAAACAAGAGTGGAAATTTCTATTGTTCAATTTAATGTTGACTTTAATAATGAAAGAGAAATAAATATTTCAAGACTCAGTTGAGATAGAACCTTTATTTCTACACTGCAATTTTGGTTCCTTGTATGCGACGGATTTTCTATAACGTTTAAGGAGACGCAAATGTCAGTCAGTCAGCGCTCTTGCTCGCGTCCACCTTTGACTATTGACGACTGTGTAGTCTCGCTTTGATTCCAATGAGCATATAGGGAAGGAAACACTACTCGATTTTTAGTTGTGCAACTAAATAGTTCACTTATCTGCTAAATAATCGACAATCGCACAACACTTGTGCCACAGTTTACTTAAAGGTGTCAGCCCGATCTAAGCTGTCCGTATGTGAAAAGCTAAGCGTGCATTTTTATGTTGAAGAGCGATCATTAAATCTTTCCGCTGCTAGTTGTGAAAGTTAGGTCACGCAACACAGGCATCCTAGAAATGCTCTGCTTCCGTGACTTGGTCGCCGGTCAGCCTTGAATACTCCTCGGTGCATTCCTTTGCAACTCGGTCACTAACTCGGGCACCGGTTTTGCGATTCTATTAGAATAATTGGAATACTATTCCACGATAATGAAATTTTAAAACGTAATTAATTGAAAAAATAAGTAGCCAAGTTAATAAGTAGTTTGTTTAAAGGTTTAATGCGGGCACACCTTTGACTAAACTTAGTTTTTCCAAACTATCCCATGTGTAACAAATTTCATCCATAACCGCAGCAGTTAAGGCTACAAACTCTTACAAACATCCATCTAATTCGCATTTATATCAGAGGTAAGATTGTTTAGTCTTCATCGTCTCTAATACGCTCCTTTGTTTCAGAAGAAAGCCTCGCTGAACTCCACGCTGGTGCTAAATCATTCCAACTACCTTCAAAATGTGTCACTACTCTAGCGTTATTTGTAACATTTCACGATCCGGTGTTTACGTTATCGAAAACAGTGATTTTCATGATAATGTTTCCTCTATTGTATACATTAGATATTTTAACTTCAGTAATAAGATATACAGTATTAGTTCTACCTACGTGATGATTTGTCACTTTATCTGTATATAATATATTTAAATTTGGTTCTAAATATAGATTATTAATAGTTACATAAAATAAAACTGATTAATAATTTTATGGTTCATTATTTTTCCTTTTTTCTTAGAATATTATCTTCGTATGGCGAATGCAATTACTTGATATTTGGAACAATCATACTAATACTATAAATGCGAAAGTTTAGATCGTTGGATGTTTGTTAGAGTTTCCAGCCTAAACCACTGAACGGATTTCGATGAAATTTGGTATAGATGTAGGAATAGTCTGGAAGAACACATATACTCACTTGTGTTTTCTTTAATTCACGCACACGGAGTCGCTGGCGAAAGCTAGTTCTTGTATATGTGTTTTTTCGTTGTAACGGATTTTAAAATTTGATTGCGTCATAAACATCAAAGTACCACATGGTTCGATTATTATATTCTTTTATAATGTTAATATTAAATTGTAATTTTACTTAGCAGTTGGACAAATAACAATTCTAATCGCCTTAATGTAGACAGGCAAATATAAACCCAAGAATAAAGTTCAGTTACCTTTGCTTTAGTTCCTATTGAAGATTATATGCCTAAGAAAGTACAACACCTATTCATTGCCTTGCGAGGAAAGTTCTTAGTGAGACTTGAGTTAGTTTGCTATAAGAACTTACTGGGTTAATTACTAGTTTCAAGGAAACTGGATGAAATAAGATTTTCAGCTTACATTTTTTTTAAAGTCCAGACGTTATTTATGTCAGTTAGCGACTTTTTTATGATAAGATGGTGAACCAGAAAGCGGTTACATTTGCCGAATTAGTGACCCAACAACTGACTATAGATATCCGCAATTGCAGAGATAGAAGTGTACGCACAGGAAAGGGATATTTCCCCTACCTTTGTCCCACCTATACATATGACAAGGGTAGGAAGGAAATTGGAACAAATTTAGGCCTCTTGGTCGCCATCACACGATAAGCGGAATTACTTTCATTTGACACTTATACGTAAAACACTATGCAGAGTGTAATCAATGAAAATAATACATAAGACATAGTTTTCTTTTCAAAAGCTTTTTAATAATTCTGTTAACAACTTTGCGCACGTTAATGAGGAAAATTGTATTTCAATTGTAAAGACTCAGCTTTTGTAAGCGCTTGAAAACTTTTCATTTCAGTGGACAAAAATGATGGGATAGGACATATTTCTTAAGACCGCCATTAATTTAGATTATTATAACTTACGTTTTAATTAAATTTAGACTAACAAACTTTATAAAAAACGTTCAATATTAAAAAAAAATGTTGACAGATATAATTCAAGTATGTTTCTGCTAAAAATAGCTTTTATCTTAGGATTATTCGTGAAAATACTTTCTTAACGTCATCTAGACAAATACTGAATTAACTAAACGAATCTTAAGCACTTCGTCTCGTGAAATGTCAACAATCTAACAGAGTTACATATTTTTACAACTTTACTTCCTTTTCCTTCCCACCCTTTTTCTTATTAGAAAAGCATGGGAAGGGAACGTGGATTTGATGGTGCAGGAGACACATAGGGGATATATCCTCTTTATGTGCGTCTCCTCCTGCGTCGATCAAGGGTAGGCAACGCATCCGCTATTGCGAATGTCTACGGGCAGCGGTCGCTTCGCCATTTAGGCGGATTCAGGTGGCCGTTTGCTCGTTTGCCACTTTACATTATAAAAAAAATTCAACGCATTTGCAATTGCGGATGTTTATGGGCAGCGGTCGCTTTCCATTTCGGTGGATCCAGGTGGCTGCTTGTTCGTTTGCCACCTTATATTATGAAAAAGAAAAATTAAATGTCGTTTCAGTTTTAGGCCTGCAGTTGTCTTTTATGTTTTAATTTTTAAAAATGTTGTATATGTCATCCCTTTGAACATAAAAATGAAAATAGTTTTGCTTCGCTTGTAGGGATTTCCATAGTCAATCTATTCGCCACTCCACCATACTTAATTAACGCTGGCCTGATGAAAGCACTTT